TGCTTGAGTTACCTTACAGGATCCAATGAAAAAAATTGTGCTACATTTTAAACTATTCCTAAATCAGTAGGCTTACATCGGCACAATCGGGAGCAAGGTATTAAAAATTTTCTCTGAATTCAATATCTTCACCACCAACATTTGTCCATTTTTTTCAGCTAGTCTAGGCGGTGATTTTCGTTCCTCCTTAGCACCCTAACCTACGAATGTCACAGTTCCCTGCCGCTTGAGGTAGAATCTGATATAGACGGCGACGTAAGCTTATTAAAAATTGGCACCCATCGGATCTGTTCTGACAAACCTTAGGGCTAAGAAGTACTTTTCTTCATAGTAAACCACTTTACATGAAAAGAGTTTGAGCTACCAAATAGCTACGGAATATAACAACAAACAAAGTTTCTTCATGCTCCTTATAGCAACTGTAGTACCCTGGCATTTAGGATTTCTGCCTGTGTAGAAAATCAATTGAGCATATCACTCTTCTTTCAGAAAATTAGCAAATTAAATAGAACTAAAAACATCTCACTCGCTCAATAAGTCAAACAAAAGCGTTTAGTGACACAATCTGTTAAATCAATGAAAGCCGACACCGATGTATGGAAACTAACCAGCACCGCAGAGAGGGTCTATAACTTGTGCCATTCCTGAAATTGGGAGTGTCCTCCCTTCAAAGACTGATAAAAATATTTGGGCTATGATTTTGAAAAAGAAAACCTAAAAGTCTTAGGGCAGCAGTTCTGTAAAATGCGAAAAAATAAGAAATGTGTTATCACACCTTAGCTGAAAATAGATATGTTCGAAAAATATACACCTAATAGAAATAGTATATACCAAATAGGATTTAAAATTAAAGTTATAATAAGTATATAATTATCATCAATATCATAGTTCATCAAGACTCCTGAAATATCCAATTTGCAAGGACAGCATGAAGAGTTGTTCGTATTCTCGACGTGCCCCCACATTGCAGAGTGCCCAAACAAAATTCCCTAACATTTCCCTAGCTACTCCCGGCCACTTATTTGGAGTTATCTGACGCAAACGTTTTTCCTTGAGTGTATGTTTTATATGCCTATTTTGAGTATCTATACCTTCATTCGTATGATAGCATTTTGTTATTATTTTTATTAGTTTTAATTTTCTGTTGAACCGACGCTTTTTCATAGTTATCCGCAATTATCTAAATGGGGCACCCTGACTGAGCGAGGGCAGGTTTATCAGCTTCGCAGCACTCGCTCATAGCTGTGAACCCTCACGTCTATAAAAATATTTTTTGAGAAAAAAATCCTCAACGGTTACAATCAAATCTTATAGAAGGTTTATTCCAATTTTTTAAGCCCGTGGACTAAAAAAAGAGAAATTTTGCGAAAAATTCTCCTTGCGCTATCTGTTAAAATTGTATATAAGAACCGTAGCTCCTGAAATTGTTCGCTGAGAAACCTAAAAACAAGAATATCGAAGCTTCAAAATGCCTTGTTTAAAGTCTGGATACGACCATTTTTCAACAAAACACAATCTCTCTACAATCAGGATTTTTTTGACAGGTGTGTAGTACAGAAAGGTAATTTTACTGAGATATTTTAACCCACAACCACACTTGCTTTTAGGGAAATACAGTACCACGCGAAGTTAATCATGTACCATTTGCGCAAAAAAGTTTTTGAAAAGTTAACATCAACAGATTGAAGCATTGACATCAAAAATAAGAAAAAATGAAATATAGAAATTGCAAGAATGTGTTCTAAATATTTCGTCAGTTACATGTTCATTTTCAATTTACTGTATAATAGTCGGATAACGTCTGTCTTCACTCCAAGTCAAAAAAGGTAGTCGTTTATAATGTGATTTTTTCAACAAAAAATATATCTGGTAAAACCGTTTCTTAATGCATTCTCCTTGAATATAGGCAACCATATTCTCTTTCTAGGATCTGAAAGATATTTGCGCCGTAGAATTTGGAAATTCACTTTAAAAAGAGCTAAGCTAGGCGGTCATCCTTCCTCCTTAGCACCCCAACCTACGAATGGCACAGTTCCCTGCCGCTTGCGGTAGAATCTGATATACATGGCGACGTAAGCTTATCAAAACATGGCACCCATCGGATCTGATCTGACAAACCTTAGGGCTAAGAAGTACTTTTCTTCATGTAAAACCACTTTATATGAAAAGAGTTTGAGCTACCAAATAGCTACGGAATATAACAACAAACAAAGTTTCTTCATGCTCCTTATAGCAACTGTAGTAACCTGGCATTTAGGATTTCTGCCTGTGTAGAAAATCAATTAAGCATATCACTCTTCTTTCAGAAAACTCGTAAATTAAATAGACATACAAACTTCTCGCTCGCTCAATAAGTCAAACAAAAGCGTTTAGTGACACAATCTGTTAAATCAATGAAAGCCGACACCGATGTATGGAAACTAACCAGCACCGTAGGGAGGGTCTATAACTTGTGCCATTCCTGAAATTGGGAGTGTCCTCCCTTCAAAGACTGATAAAAATATTTGGGCTATGATTTTGAAAAAGAAAACCTAAAAGTCTTAGGGCAGCAGTTCTGTAAAATACGAAAAAATAAGAAATGTGTTATCACACCTTAGCTGAAAATAGATATGTTCGAAAAATATACACCTAATAGAAATAGTATATACCAAATAGGATTTAAAATTAAAGTTATAATAAGTATATAATTATCATCAATATCATAGTTCATCAAGACTCTTGAAATATCCAATTTGCAAGGACATCATGAAGAATTGTTCGTATTCTCGACGTGCCCCCACATTGCAGAGTGCCCAAACAAAATTCCCTAACATTTCCCTAGCTACTCCCGACCACTTATTTGGAGTTATCTGACGCAAACGTTTTTCCTTGAGTGTATGTTTTATATGCCTATTTTGAGTATCTATACCTTCATCCGTATGATAGCATTTTGTTATTATTTTTATTAGTTTTAATTTTCTGTTGAACCGACGCTTTTTCATAGTTATCCGCAATTATCTAAATGGGGCACCCTGACTGAGCGAGGGCAGGTTTATCAGCTTCGCAGCACTCGCTCATAGCTGTGAACCCTCACATCTATAAAAATATTTTTTGAGAAAAAATCCTCAACGGTTACAATCAAATCTTATGGAAGGTTTATTCCAGTTTTTTAAGCCCATGGACTAAAAAAAGAGAAATTTTGCGAAAAATTCTCCTTGCGCTATCTGTTAAAATTGTATATAAGAACCGTAGCTCCTGAAATTGTTCGCTGAGAAACCTAAAAACAAGAATATCGAAGCTTCAAAATACCTTGTTTAAAGTCTGGATACGACCATTTTTCAACAAAATACAATCTCTCAACAATCAGGAGTAGTGTATCTAGTGCTGAAAGGTAATTTTACGGATAACGTCTGTCTTCACTCCAAGTTAAAAAAGGTAGTCGTTTAAAATGTGATTTTTTCAACAAAAAATATATCTGATAAAACCGTTTTTTAACGCATTCTCCTTGAATATAGGCAACCGTATACTCTTTCTAGGATTTGAGAGATATTTGCGCCGCAGAATTTGGAAATTCACTTTAAAAAGAGCACAATCGAGAGCAAGGTATTTAAAATTTTCTCTGAATTCAATATCTTCACCACCAATATTTGTCCATTTTTTTTCAGCTAGGCTAAGTGGACATTTTCGTTCCTCCTTAGCACCCTAACCTACGAATGGCACAGTTCCCTGCCGCTTGCGGTAGAATCTGATATACATGGCGACGTAAGCTTATCAAAACATGGCACCCATCGGATCTGATCTGACAAACCTTAGGGCTAAGAAGTACTTTTCTTCATGTAAAACCACTTTATATGAAAAGAGTTTGAGCTACCAAATAGCTACGGAATATAACAACAAACAAAGTTTCTTCATGCTCCTTATAGCAACTGTAGTAACCTGGCATTTAGGATTTCTGCCTGTGTAGAAAATCAATTAAGCATATCACCCTTCTTTCAGAAAACTCGTAAATTAAATAGACATACAAACTTCTCGCTCGCTCAATAAGTCAAACAAAAGCGTTTAGTGACACAATCTGTTAAATCAATGAAAGCCGACACCGATGTATGGAAACTAACCAGCACCGTAGGGAGGGTCTATAACTTGTGCCATTCCTGAAATTGGGAGTGTCCTCCCTTCAAAGACTGATAAAAATATTTGGGCTATGATTTTGAAAAAGAAAACCTAAAAGTCTTAGGGCAGCAGTTCTGTAAAATACGAAAAAATAAGAAATGTGTTATCACACCTTAGCTGAAAATAGATATGTTCCAAAAATATACACCTAATAGAAATAGTATATACCAAATAGGATTTAAAATTAAAGTTATAATAAGTATATAATTATCATCAATATCATAGTTCATCAAGACTCTTGAAATATCCAATTTGCAAGGACATCATGAAGAATTGTTCGTATTCTCGACGTGCCCCCACATTGCAGAGTGCCCAAACAAAATTCCCTAACATTTCCCTAGCTACTCCCGACCACTTATTTGGAGTTATCTGACGCAAACGTTTTTCCTTGAGTGTATGTTTTATATGCCTATTTTGAGTATCTATACCTTCATCCGTATGATAGCATTTTGTTATTATTTTTATTAGTTTTAATTTTTTGTTGAACCGACGCTTCTTCATAGTTATCCGCAATTATCTAAATGGGGCACCCTGACTGAGCGAAAAATATTTTTTGAGAAAAAAATCCTCAACGGTTACAATCAAATCTTATAGAAGGTTTATTCCAGTTTTTTAAGCCCGTGGACTAAAAAAAGAGAAATTTTACGAGAAATTCTCCTTGCGCTATCTGTTAAAATTGTATATAAGAACCGTAGCTCCCGAAATTGTTCGCTGAGAAACCTAAAAACAGGAATATCGAAGCTTCAAAATGCCTTGTTTAAAGTCTGGATACGAAATTAAATAGACATGCAAACTTCTCACTCGCTCAATAAGTCAAACAAAAGCGTTTAGTGACACAATCTATTAAATCAATGAAAGCCGACACCGATGTATGGAAACTAACCAGCACCGCAGGGCCGCTAGGGGGTAATAATAAAGCTATTAAATTTCACGTTCCCGAACAAGCGGATAAAACGTCAACTTTCCCAGGGCTGAAATCCCTCCGAGTAGACAGAGAAGCCAAGAGGATCGATCATTCAACGTCATTCGACAAACGGAAAATGGAAAAGATTATTTTTCAATTTTGTCCGAGTGATTACCTTTTATATTTAAACTGTGAGAGGAATTTGACGTATAGGGATGCCGCGGATGATTTTTCATTTGGCTTCTATTCGGTTGGTTTGTCAGAGCAATCTTATAGAATTGATCGATCCCGCAGACGGTTTATTATCTCAAGTACAAATTGTTACTGCAAACACAAGGAGCATATGAAATATAACCTTGAGGCGACCTTTGAATGAATGTTTGATCCCGAATACAAGATTGTGGGCGAGAGTAAGCGCTTCTTTCCTTATGATCAACCAACAAGTTTCGTATACAACTTATAACAGGCTGGCCGCTGGTGAACCAAATCAAAATAATTTTTTGTGACATGGACGAAACAAGGTGGTTATTATGTAAAAAGTGCCCAAACAGCCGGAAATAGCATTCGATTTTTTCTATCACCCACGGTTTTCTTGCAATAAGGCATTTTATTTGCTGCTTATAATCGTAAAATATAAGGATAAACTAGGGATAAACTAGTGGTTCATGAGCAATATTTTTGAGGCCCGGAGTTAATACCTGACGTAGTGGCCACTCCTTCTGCTTATAATGACGATCTCGCGCACGACTGTCAGATTCACAAAGAAAACAACATTATTTGGTATATTTCAGTTGCATTCCAAGAAGAAGGGCTATTAGAATGAGGATGCCGAATATGAGATACCATTTTTATTTTTGTCCATAAAAAATGGATGATTGCATTCATAGCTCCTAGAATTACAATATTAGGTAGGGAATTTGATGTAGTTTATCCATAGAAGACAGTTTAGTCTCAAGTTTTATACATTTTATGTTATGTCAGATAATATGAAAAAAGTCAGAAATCATTGTCCAAGCAAATGGTCTCCTATTACGAGACACTATCTCTAATTAGGTTGCTTAAGGATTCAAATTCAGAGTATATACAATGTAGGCGAGACTTTTCAATCAGTAACATTACACTTCAATAAAGCTTTTGTAAGTAGTATTCATATACAGAGAAAACTAGTTTTCTGCGTCTTAAATGGCTAAACACAAACAACAAAAAATCTGCTGTTACGTCTCCACACTCTTCATGAGCCCACTTGAAACATTCCTGACATTTACCCCACTTTTCTCCTCTTGAGTCTTCTGAAAACCTTCCACTGCAGTATAGACATTCAGTGTCACATGACTCATCCATCACTGCTGCTATCTGCAAACTCAGGCATCCGAACTAGAAAGACGTAATAACAGTCAAATTCCTAATTATTACAGTGTGTATCCTAATATGAGATACCTATCTCGTTTTAGGAGCCCCACGAGTCTCATATTAGGGAATCATCTTCATTTAACGAAATGACCGCTTATTACACTGGACAACAAATTTTAGTTTTTTAATTGTATCTTGTGGGAAAAGTGCACTTCTTTGTTAATTTTGGGGCGCTGAATCCAAAAATGACAATGAAATAAAAAAATTATTTGCGGTTTAGAAAAAAAACTTTTTATTTTTAAGGATATATTAAAAAAAGTAACAAGATTCATATACTTATAAGAATCACTATATGCGCTGTCTTTTTGCTGTTCTTTTATGGATCGTTTCTGGAGCATCTCTACCAAGAGTCCAACAGTAGTCTGCAAGCATGGAAGGATTCCACTTTCCCTGGTACCTTTTTTCCATTGTTGAAATATCCTGATGAAAACGTTCGCCGTGCACTTACGGCTCCGCAATTGTCAGGAAAAAAGTCCAGGTGTGAGTGTAGGAAATGTATCTTAAGAGACATATTACAGCCCATCTTTTGATATGATGACAGCATATTTTTGACAAGGGTTTTATAGTTGTCAGCTTTTCTATTTCCCAAGAAATTAGTGACCACCAGACGGAAATCATTCCAAGCAGTTTTTTCAATACCTGTTAAAGTGTTTTCAAACTGTGTATCTTTCAAAATATTTCGAATCTGTGACCCAACAAAAATACCTTCTTTAACCTTTGCCTCACTTAGTCTTGGAAATTTCTGACGCAGGTATTTAAAAGCTGACCCATCTCTATCTAATGCCTTAACAAAGTTTTTCATTAGGCCCAACTTGATATGCAGTGGTGGTAAAACATTTTTTTTCTAATCTACTAATGGCATATGCTGTACATTTTTTTGACCTGGCTCTAGGAATTGACGAACAGGCCAGTTTTGTCTGGTGTAATGAAGTGCCTTTGCCCGACTGTCCCATTCACACAAAAAACAGCAAAACTTTGTGTAGCCTAGCTGCAGCCCAAGTAAAAGTGCAACAACTTTCAAATCGCCACAAATATGCCATTGGTGCTCATCTTATTTTATGCATATCAATAGGTACTTCATATTCTCATATGATTCTTTCATGTGAACTGCATACCCTACAGGAAGAGTTGGTAAAATATTTCCAATATCCAATAACACTGCCTTTAAATTCAATGTTGAACTGTCTATAAACAATCTCCATTCTTCTGGGTTATAGTTTATATTTAAAGCCGCCAGTAAGCCGTTAATGTTACTGCAGAAAACCAAGTTATTCTCCATATTGAAAAATGGTTCTAAGACTGTCGTTTACGAAAAACACATACCGAAACATCGTCTTCTAACAAGTTCCACTGCTGCAGTCTTGATCCAAGTAACTCTGCCTTACATTTTGGAAGTTCTAAATCTCTTACAAGATCATTTAATTCTGACTGTGTTATTTTATGCGGTTGGTGGCATGACGTGCTCGGTATAAAATCAGGATCTCTTGACGTTGATGGCATATCTTCTTCCTGACGAATCACTCGATCGCCATGATCTGATTCGTTTTCTGATTCGCAAGTGTAGGATTCTGGGGGTTTTGAAATAGGATTTTCGTCACTGTGAGGTACAGGTCTCATCGCAGATGGTATGTTTGGGTAGTTAATAACAGATTTTTTTTTTTGGACATACCTGTGGCTTGTCCAACACAAGGTACCATGCAAAAGTAACAATCATTAATATGATTTGTAGGCTCTCTCCAAACCATTGGGACAGAAAAGCGCATAGACCGTTTTTTGCCATTTAACCAGCTCCTCAGACTTGAAGCACATGTATTACAGCAGATGTGGGGTGCCCACTGTTTGTCTTGATCACCTAGTTTACAACCGAAATAAAGCTGATATGCCTTTGTTATTAGTGGAGTAATAGACTGTCTCTGAGACGCAAAAGTCACATCACCACACACGTAACAAAACTGATCTGGACTGTTTACACACTTTCGAGACATCTTACATGAAAGCTGTCAGCCAACTGAGGAAAAAATGGCTAATATAAAACAATATAATGTACACGTATGTATAACGTAACACAATCATGCCGATTACATCATCTTTCCTTGCCGAATATAAAAATGTAGCACGTGCATTCTTGTGAATTACAGTATATTAACACTGTCACAGCAGGAACACATATAATTACCGTATCTCTAAAACTTGAACTAATATTGAAAAAATAAGTTTCATTCCGGTTTTAGCACATTAAAAGTAGTAATATTTTGTTGATTTTATTTAGGATATTTTTTGGCTGTTGATCAGTGTTATTTGTTGAAAAAGGAAAAACAACTAACCTCGTGGACGTTAAAACAAAGTTCGTATAATTTCATCACAGGCGGAGTAAAAGTAGGTTTTTTGGGATTGAAAAGTTAGCTCTCCGCACACATAACAAAAACTGTTCGCACTATTTATACAATTGCATTGTCCATAAAGCTAGTCTCGATCACAATAAACTAAAAACAACACACAGTACTCAGAACATCTGAGTACTGATCAACACAGAAAACGTAACTGACTAGGCTGCTACTAATAAACGCAATATGCTCTCTAAACATAGAGCTCGCATATAATAAACAGGAATAGACAGGTCTTGACATTATATATGTGCGTCATCGCATAAACGCTGTGAAATGCAGCAACATGAGATGTTACGCATTGTAAATTCATAAAAGTATTATAAGGTATCGAATATCTGTTGGGAAGATTCGGTTTCTCGAAAAAATGGTTGCGGAATAATATTTCCGAAGACTGCGAAAACTTTGTTAAAACTACGCAAGCCAGAATTAATGCTGGTATTAAGGCAAAGGGAGCCAAATATTGTTATTATCAATATTAGCTTAGTTTTGTAGTTTAATATCATATTACTTGACAATAATTTTGTTAACATGATGTCCAAACAATATATTTCAATGTCTTATAGAAGAAAAAAAATATTTTGTAACCTTAGAAAATAAGCAGCTATTTAAACATACTGCGAAAAAGTGATATTTTCGAGCTTCACGTTTACTGAAAACGTTACCTAGCAAAAAGTTTTATACCTCTCAGTGCGGGGTCTCTGATATACCATCACGAATACAACAGCTTCTTAAAATTCTAGATATTCTCTCCTATTTCAGCAGAAAAGCATCTAGCTTTAACCAGATGCTTCTAAAGCAATCCATTCTGCTGCTTCAATATTCATATCGACATCGTGGCCGCCGTATGCATCGTCAATATCTGTAAATGAAACCGTATCCTAGTCTCCAATGGCCGGAAGTCGAGGCATCGCAGCTTCCGCTTTCGCGTCATTTCTTCGTTTTCCAGCGAGCGGACGAGCGTCTGTTAATCCCAGGCGGCCACGGTTCGCCTCTCGACGCGCGTCTCGCAGTCGTGCAGCGTGACTCAGAAATGCATCGACTCATCCGCTAAGAGAGAGACGTGTCACTCCGGTTTACGAGGGTGAATCCATCCCTCTGCCACCCCAGTACTACGTCTTCTCTCCCGACTCACCACTCGATTGTTTATTTATCGCCGATACTCTCTCGATAATACAGTGGCGGCGCACAGAGGTCTAGAACACCCG